ATATATACATATACGCATACATATACATATACGCATACATATACATATACGCATACATATACATATACGCATACATATACATATACGCATACATATACATAGCATACATATACATATACGCATACATATACATATAGTAAAATGGGCCATTCTGCATACTTCTGGTACTAGTATATTTTGATGCAAATATTTTAGCTTGAAGTAAAAAGATCTGAATACTTATTCAACGTCTTGCATATCATTAGCCAACAACATAATTAAATGTCACTGTGGTTCTTGGGTCGTCTTCAGCCACACTAGTGACCTCATCCCTCGGTGTGCGACGGTCATATCGACCCCGCAGTGCAAAACTTTAGGGAGAAACAGATTTCTTACCCGTTATCCAGTTTTCATCTTCAAAGATGATTCTGGGAGGGTGACATCTTTGTTTGGGGGCAAAACATAAGTTTAAACCCAGTTTTTCCAGAAACATCACTGCAAATGTGGCCTCGCTGCTCTCTTTGTTGTACGTTACATCCACAGGAACAGGCTGGAGGAAGACTGGATTTAGGTAGATAGTAAACACCTGTGAGATCATGAAAACCAACCAATCAGAGAGCAGAAGGCTTCACCTGCCAAGAACAGGAAGTAAACAGGATGGACTCCTGAAAGAATGAAGCAGCATGAAGGGAGTGAAATGTTTTTATTTCTGTAACAGAGTAATTTACAGCAACAAAAACGGCAGAGCTGCTGCAGCTACAATATATATTCCAACAATAATCCACCTCCAGCACTCGGGCTGGTACATTCCTCTTCACTAGTTAATAGACTGAGTATAATGTGTTCTGGTGGTCAGAAATATATGGGAGTTTATTAACAACAAAACTACTGGTGAGTAAAAAACACATTTTAAACAGTCTGCAAGTCTAAATTTGAGAACATGCAGGAACAAACTCAGGAGTTTTGTTGTTACCCAGATAAACAGAAAAGCCTACAGGATAGAGGGACTTTTATTTTGAAGGGGGAGGAAGTGGAGCGAGAGCCGCCAGAGCTACGCACACACACACACACACACACACACAGAGAGAGTTCACCCAAGCTTATTGTCGACTACTAGAGGGGCAACGACTTGACTGAACCCTGCGTGTTCACCGCTCTGGGTGCAGATAAACAGCTGTGCGCTTCATTGACCAACATCTGGCGAATAACATTACAATCTGGAGTTTTTTTATTTTCTTTTTAAAGTTACCGTTCGGCTGTATTTACACACGGTTCAACTGTTTTACCAGACGATGTTTCCACCGTCAAGACAAAGAGGATTCAAGTGGGTGAGTGTGCGTTTCAGACATTGAGGGTTCTTTTGATGGAGAAGATGATGTCTTTGATCTGCGGCAGGCTGTTGTCCTCCAGGATTTTGGCGTACGGCATGGGGATGTCGACGCCCGTCACCCTGGTGGCCGGGGCGTCCAGGTAGTTAAAGGCAGGACCTGAAAACACACACAGGAGGTTAGACGTTGTATTTTAGTTTATACCCTAAAATCTCCAGATTTCTCCAAGCTCACTGTTCGTATTTAACCCCATGAAGGGAGAGCGACGTATGACTTAAACCAGCCAATCACAGGACAAGAGTCCACACATTCAAGGATATGAGGGGCAGAAATAGTTACATGAAGTCTAAGAGTCTGAAAGGAGCTTGAACGCGGTGTAATGCAGCCGTTACCTTCCATGACCCTGGCGCAGATCTCAGCTCCAACACCAAACTGAGGCCAGCCGCCCTCCACTGTCACCAGGTGGTTGGTCTTCATCACGCTGGTCTCAATGCACTCCACATCCAAGGGACGGATGGTCCGCAGGTTGATCACCTGACACACACAGACAGGAAGTAGTTAACAGGCTGCCGAGCGCAGGTCATCAGTGTCAGATAACAGCGTGTTGTGTTCCTTCCTCTACCTCACACTCGATCCCCTCCTTGGCGAGGACGACGGCGGCATCCAGGCAGTGACTGACGTACCGAGAGTGAGTGACCAAAGTGACATGAGTCCCTGAAACAGAGACAGGAGGAGCAGAAGAGGAAGATGAAGAAGAAGACAAGTTCAGGAACACAACAGTGACAGACAGATCTCTTGACATCCAGGTCACGTTTAACTGAACACCCTCACAAACCTCCGGTTCATCATGTTCATAACAAAACGCTCATTACTTGTATTTCAAATGCCACCTTATTCTCTATAAAGCACTGTTACACACTGTTGCACCTGTGTGAGCTGTAGTGATTTACGCAAGTTAAAGGAATAGTTCAACATTTTGGGAAAGAAGGCGTAAATATCTATAACCGTTGCAACATTTAAGCCGATCACATGACCATTTAAAAAAAGAAAACAAACATAAACCTCAACAACCAGAGGATAATTAATCAATGTTTCCCGCCGCCTGCATACTCAAGTGTTAACTTTCAGAAAAAGTTCTACTCTGTTCTTCCTCCGAAGTATTTTCTGCAGCGCAGAGACAATCTTCTTCCTGTTTAAACCGTTATTTGAAACGGTGCTAAGACGTGCGCGTGAACAGACACAGTTTTCGTGACAGTGATCTATGACGCTAGAACTATCTGTTTTTGGGTGCAGCGACTGCGTGAAGCTTCCTGAAGTCCTGTTGCCACCAAGTCTCACCTTGTCTCTCAACCTTGGCCTTTCCGATGGGAATGGTGAAGTCTTTGGACTGAGACTCCTCTGACATCTCGAAGGGAACACCGTACATCAGCTCGTTCTCCAGGAACACCACTGCAACACACACACACACACACACACACACACACACACACACACACACACACACACACACACACACACACACACACACACAGGCGGAGTTCAGTAACAAACAGTGAAGCCCGTTTACAGTTATGGGTAACTGCTGATGTCTTGTGTGTGAAAAGAACCTTTAGTGTAAATGCATCTCAGAAGCATTCACGATTGCATAAATTAAAGGTGTAAATGTATCCGTCTCTCAAAGACGCATTCTTAAACTTCAGTCATCAGCTTGAGCTCGGAGCAAATCACCACTCACATGGATGTGTCGCTTTTGATAACGGCAGCTGATCTCTTTTAACAAATGATGCATTCATATGTATGAAAATGTGAATGAATCACAATTTGAGTATTGGTAGCATTCTGGTTTCCGTTTGCAGTCCGTGTATCAAAAGAGGCGGAGCTCGTTGGCTGAAATGTAATCTCTGAACCCGCCCGCCATCGTCTGACAACGATTTAGATTTTTAGTGGTTTAAGATTAGCTCGTCTATCCTCATGAATATCGCCTCCTATCAGTCGTCAGCTTGATAGACGATGCGTTATGAGACTGAGCGGTAAGCTAACATCACACTGTACATCGACTGAGATCAGTCGTTGGTATTTTGGTCGTGTGTCGCGTCTCACCGGGGTTCTCGTCTCTGATGGCGGCTTTCAGGAGACCTTTGGCATCTTCTGCGCTCCAGGGACTCACAACCTTCAGACCTGGACAGTGACCGTACCTGCAGACAGAAGAAAGCACTACCGTCACCCACTGTTACTTCCACCTTTGAAGGGTGCCTAATTTTTTGGGGACTTACTTTCGCTTGTTTGACAGCTTTTGTTTTGTTTTTCCTCGATCACAGCTGTTAACTTGTATTATTGCTGATAAAATTATCAAAAGTACAAAAGCAAGTTGTAATAAAGCTACAATAAAGAACCTTGCACACATTATTAAGAGTTAACAGTTATCAGGTGTCAGTGAACGCACCACGCAGCGAAGCACTGCGAGTGCTGAGCGGCGACGCCTGCCGACGCGCCGTTGGGGCCTCTGAAGACGATGGGCACCGACTGCAGACCGGCGGACATGTAGCAGGTCTTTGCTGCAGAGTTGATGACCTGGTCGATGGCTTGCATGGAGAAGTTCCAGGTCATGAACTCACAGATGGGTCTCAGGCCGGCCTGCAGGGGACGGAAGTTTAATATTAGTGAAATAACACTGAGGAGCCATCATTCAACAAGAGGCCTTCTCGTCTAAACATAATCGTTTTATAATATGTTGTATTTGTTTTATATGTATTAATTTCTTGCTGTAATAAAGAAAATATCTAGTCCAGGTCTTCACACTCTACTTAGTTTCTAGTAACCGAAACCCGTCTCAAGCCCTGATACCGGCCAAGTCCAAACTATATTCAGTCTTAGGTCTGGTGGCTCTCAGGTCTGTACTCAGCCATCTTTTTGCTGTTCTATATACTTAATATAATAAGTTAATATACGAACGATTCTCATGTTATTCAACCAGACAATTACCAACACACTGCCAACGTCTTTCAGGGAAACCTGCGGTATTTTAAGTTGTTTTCATCACAAACCAAGATGTGAAGTAAAGTTTTGTGGTTCAAAGAGTGTGTGTCACAGATTAGATAACAATCTGATGAGCAGGTGGCCTCTTGCATGATGCGTTTATCCAGAGTCATAATGCTAATGTACGGTTAGGGATTCATGTGTGTTTCCTCAATGTGTTACAATGGGGACGGAAAAAAACTCACCATGGCGGCTCCCACTGCGATGCCGGTAAAGCCCATCTGCAGGAAGGAGGGGGAGGGAGAGACAGAGAGAGGGACACAGAGAGGGAGGGAGAGACAGAGAGAGGGACACAGAGAGGGAGGGAGAGACAGAGACAGAGAGAGGGACACAGAGAGAGACAGAGATGTGAACAGCTGTTCCTCTGAAGAAGTGTTTGGATCACAAACACTGAGCTGATTCACTTCCACAGAGAACATTAGTGAAGGTTTGAGAGTCTCACCTCTGTGATCGGAGTGTCGATGATGCGTTTGTCTCCGTACTTCTTCCACAGACCCCTGCTCACCTACACACACACACACACACACACACACACACGACTATGGCTTTAAGAACCCAGTTGTAATAAACCGTAGTTTTCCTCTAAAGAGACTCAAATAATCGCTGCAGCGCTGAGTGAACAGGCTCAGCTGCTGGAATGTCCAGCCCCTGGTTGTTTATTCCAGTTCTCTCCTGAATCCAGAGCGTCACTGAATTCTACTGCAACTGTTAGAAACCGGTCGTTAAACTCTTTGAAATAAGGGGTTTCCGGATTGAATTTGTCAATAAAAAAGCCAAAAAAGTCACTCACCAACAGTGACCACATACTCGTGTTTTCTTTTGGTTGCCACTCACCTTGTAGGCTCCGTCGTACTGGGCCACCTCCTCGCCCAACAGGAACACCCGCTCGTCCCTCTCCAGCTCCTCGTCCATTGCCTGGTTCAAGGCATCACGGACCATCATCTAACAAAAAACAAAACAACAGCACAGCAGTGAGTACAGACCCTCTACCGTCAGAACAGAGACTTTTGAAAACAAATCAAACCATCCTGTTAGTGAGACACACTGATTATTTACAGTTTGTACAGAATTAATTTAATTTATTTTTTTGCAGCTATAACGATGGCTATATTGCTATTTTGTTAATTATAAAATAACAAATTATTTTTTATATACATACATATATACACATATATACATACATATACATATACATATAGATACATACATATACATACACACACATACACACATACACATATATACACACATTTTGATATATTATATAAAATTATATTATAGAATATAAAATAATTTATATTTATATCAAAGCAATCAACAAAGCTTTAAACCTTAGTTGATTGAGATTGGGCTGTCACAGCAGCACAAGGACAGAGAGACGAGAGGCATTGAGAAGTGATGATGTGACATCTTTAGTAGAACAGTAGGAACCTTCAAGCTCAACGCTGGAGGAGGTGAAGCCTGGTCCGACTGTGTAACATTCTGACAATAACGACTGTCATCTGCCAGTAAAACAAAATAAAACCCAACAACAGCTGGAGCTAAATACTAGCATGCTAGCTGCTAGCACTGACCTGCGCAGCGGCCGGAGCGCTCTTGTGAAATCCCCGCGGTCCTAGAGCCGACACGGCATTCTGTAGGAAAAGACAGAGAGACGCCGTTAGTTACAATCATAATCAACAAATTCAGAGTAACCGTTTACCCGAATAATAGTCATACCTTTCCTGAGCGGAGAAAGCATCTCACGGAGGCCGCCATGTTCAATCTGTCCTCTGCCGGAGAGAAGGCGGGGTCTCCTACGTAGGTCAGGAAGTTTCAACCAATCAGGGCTACAGTTCAGACGTCGAGCGGAAGCTGTCATAGCTAAAGACCCAATCACAACGGTTCAGCTGAGACGGAGGCGGGAGGAACGTCAAGAGTGGAAAAAAACATCCAAGGACACTGTTCCTGTCATTAGGTTTGGAAGACCAAAGATGTACGATGAAAAATAAATGAAATGTCATAAATGACAAATATTAAAAAAAAAAAAATACTCGATGGAAGTGTTTTTTTTTTTTTTTTTTTTTTTAATTACAAGATACCACAAATTAATGTAAGGCAAATTCAGAGTCCTACATAGCTGCATAATTATTTCAAACAATAGAGTTGCAGAGAGAGAGGAGCTATTTTAATTTCCCCATAGACAAAAAAATGTGTTTCCATCCAACTTTTCATCCACATTTTAAATTTAAACAAACATGAGTGGAAAATGTAGGCGATGTTTTTATTCATTAATGACACAGGCATTCTGTTCTGCAGCATCATGTTTACTTTGCTGTCCTTTCTATGCATGAAAAAAAACTAATGAAAAGGGTAAATATGGGTAATAGACAGACATGAGTTTGAGTCCTTTCATTGATTCATATTTTCTTGACTTTGTTCACAATAGGGTCAGAGCTTTCAGCGACAGTCCGTCGCAATACAGATAATGAAGCTGCTGCTGCGACCTCTGAGCCACAAGATTTACAGTCAATAAAACAAGTTGTACACGCTACACTATAAATACAGTTTATAGAGCCTTTAATCAATTTCTTCTTCCTACCCCCTACTCACGATGCCCTCGCCTGGACAAAACCTCTTTGAACTTTACCTTCACTCTGATCTTAACTACACACCTGTAGAGTGGGTTAGGGTAAATGAAGAGGTGTATGGCAGCACAGACCAGACAATACTACCTAGAGAACACTGTCATTAGTGTTTATGAGGAGGTCCAAGGGAGCTTCTATACATGCATTTCCTTTTTCTGTGTAAATAAAAAGGAAATACTTACTACAAATTCCATTGTTACTTAGTTCCCTGGTTTCTGTTTAATCTAGGCATTTCAAATCTTCTAAGGTGCGTCCAAAAACCCCATTTCACTACCAAATAAACACAACTTAGTCTTGATTTTCCTGAACCATTTTTTAATCAAATGTTCATTCGGTTGATACAGTTATTATTTCATCACAGCAGGCTTGCTAGATTATTATTTTTTGACTTGAATATAGATGAGGGTCATTTTGCAGCTGCATTAAATGTAGAAGACATATTTTTATTCAAAGGCGACATCGGGACGAAACATTTGATGCATCTAGTGTGAGATAAAAGACCTGATGATTGAAGAGTGGTTTTTTGTAACAATATACTTGTAATCCAGCACCGTCTCTGTGACTCTGAATTTAATTGTTTTTCGCAAACAGACCTCTGGACTCGTCTTCCGCTGCTCGTAGGTAAAGTGCTGCAGAGAAACATACCGATACAATTTAATGACCATTCAAAGAACGTGAAGACCATCGCATTGGACCGGATTGCACTGAATAATAAAAACAAAAAAAGGCATTCAGCACAGAGCATCGATTTAAAACAAAAGCTCCGAGTGCTTAAACTTGGATTGCAGAGATCAGAGTCATCAGGTGGCAGGATTCTACTGAGCTCAAGACTCACGATAACAGCTCTGTCACAGGCTAACACTTTAGCACGCAGTGCGTCAGGTAATCGCAGGTGAGAGGAAGAAGAAACGAGGACCGAGACACAAGGGGCCTCTTGTGGAAAAGATCCTCCTGTCAGTCTGATGACAGTTTACTGCCGCTTCTACTGTTGTCTCTTGTTAAGGTTTACAAGTAAAGTAGATCCTCATGCTGCCGTGGTTCTACCCCAGAGTCACGCACACTTTTAATCATTCGACATTCTGGAAAATACGCTGAGTCGCTTTCGGGCAGAGAGTCGGATGAGAAGATAAATACCACTCTCATATCGGTCTGTTCAAATCAAAAGCTACAGCCAGAAGCCGGTTAGCTTAGCTTAGCACAAAGACTGGAAACAGGGGGAAACAGCTAGCCTGCCTCAGTAAAAAGGCCTTGGACTGTTTGTCAGAGGTACGAGGTGTAGACGTCACCTCGTTTTCACTATTTTCTGACAAACGATAACGAAAAGTAATCATTAGTTGGTATTATTTAGGGAAATTCCCAGACTGTAATGCCAATAGCAACATCCTGTGTGCTAAAGTGTTACTATCCTCAGACAGAGCTTGTATACATACAGATTATCTGGTATGTATGATATCACAGACAATATTTCAACAAAAAGAGACAATTCATTTTTCCATAGGCACATGGATCCATATGGCACAATAAAATAAAAATAATCTCAGCTCTATGACGACAACAGACATTAAAATACAACAGAATTAAAACAAAAGCAAAAACAACAAAAAAACAGGAATCAACACAATCAGGGTCTGAAATTAACCGTCACCGGACGTCTCACCAAGGTTAACTGTAACGTTGGAGTCACCAGTGCTGTTTAACTAAATAAGATCCCAAAATAACGGATTTCCTTCTTTCATTCCTTCAGCAGAATGAACAAAGATGGATGCTGTGAAAAGCTGAATTTGAAGTTGATCATTAGTTTACATTTCAGGTGCTTAATCTCTGACTCGCATTCGATTACTAGTTCAACTGCCGTTCAATACACACCCTGCAAACGACTATGAATTAATAAAGTCAAACTAAAAGGTGACGAATGGATTTCCTCTCTGTAGCAAGTTTCAAGTCTGTGCAAGTTCATTTTCGGAGAAAGAAGGAAATCTTAAAACATGATGGGAGACTTGGAAAGTGATCAGCAGTTAATGGGCCGAAACAAAACATGCAAAAGCAGCAGTGTGGGTCATATAAGTGGAATATAAAGAATTTATTGTGGTGCAAAGAAGCTAAATCTCACATATCAATCAGTAAAGATGCTGGTGGAGAAAAAAAGTATTTCAGATTCATTTCAGACCCCAAATACAATCAGAGCGGCTCATCGCTGTGGATCCACGTTGCTCCGATTCAGGACGGTACAGACGTCTGACCGGTATCTCCGTCTCACAGACGTTCACCAAAAGTGCAGGTTTGACATCGCGTAGAGCAACGTCTCTATATCCAAAGGAGAGAGCAGCTGCACCAGCCGCAGCGGCACCGGCTGCCGTTACTTTCTGCCACGTTTAGCAGCCGAAAGTCTCACTGGTGTGAGGCAGAAGTTACAGTACGATGGGAGATCAGAGGAGAATGCTGCTGAACTTCATGGTGGGCAGTTTCACCTCTCCAGCCCTCCCGGGACTCGAGTGAAAACTATGGTGAGCGTTATATATTGGGATTGTTTACATTTGTCAAGTTTCCACACAAAAGTAGCGCTAATTTTAACCAAAATCCAGAAAACGGCTAACGAAAATGCAAAATAAATGTGCCTTTCCATCCAATAACATGATGTGAATACCAGGTGCATTAAGATCAACAGTTGGTGGCATGGAAAACCATGTGGAAGACATGATGTAAATATGTTTGTTTCATGTATTAATTAGAAGATTTTAATCTCAACGCGCCACACAGATCCGAGTTTCTCTTTAGTGAACGTTTGAGTCTTCATGAACATCAGGATTTTATTTGTATTTATTTATACAGCAACATTTCTACTTTTTTGAGACATATAAATATTCCTTTTTAAATTTTCATTTGGCCTTTATATGTACAAATTGAACGTGCGCAAAAAAATAGGTCGATGGAAACAAACTTCTTGCAGTTTGTAGCATCGCGGGTAGTTGATTATGTGCTGCTCTTTTTCTTTTGTGCTCCAACTTGTGCAAACTATTTGCATGCTTAGTCTGAAATGAATCAACAACTGACCAATCAGGATGCCTCATGCTCACAGAGCTGAACAGTAAAGTTTCTTTATACGTTCCTAAATGGGATGAACAACCTCAGAAGATCCATGTCAATCCACAACCTCTAACTGACGAGCTAACGGCACAAAATCTCATCAATCTGTCCCTCTGGTTCAGACCAAACAAAACCAACAGCAGGTCTGATCCCACCGTGACGTTCAGACAGATGCACTGCAGCAAACGGACATCTGTAAGTTGAGAATGTTCTTAAATCGTGTGAAAATAAACCTGCGGGTCACATACGGTGACCTGCATTATTTTTTCAAGTGCAGACACGCTAACAGATTTGTTTCAATTGTTTTTAAGAAAAGTGTGTTTTTGGGACATGATAATAGACAAAAATGACTTTATTGATTCGGGTGATTGAGTCTTTTTTTTGTCACCGATGTCCTGCAGTGAAACGGTCTCCATGGAGGCAACACGTCATGAGATGATTTGTCAAAGAGGGAAAGCCGGAGTTTGGATCAGTCTCAGGACAGATCATCAGTGTCAGAGCACCGATATTAAGATCTTTTGGATCCAGGAAATTCAACTTCCTCATCCAGCGGGACGAAGCATTCACAGTGGCTCCAAAACATAAAATTTCAAAACATTCAAACGCCACCTTGACAAGAAGAAAAGAAGCCAGTTGGCTGCCTGTTGAAGCAGCAGGTCAACCAGAAAAAAAACCAAAACCCTCACCAGCCTGTGGAGCCCGGTGGCCGTGAGGACGAACCTCGGTGCCTCAGACTGTCCAGAGTTTTTTTAAAGGGCAGACTGAGACTCTCCTCTTTCCCACCACAGCAACAGATTTTAAAAATTTAAAAGCAGGGGAAAAAAAAGCAGAAATAGCAATAAAAAGTAAAAATGGTACTTGGAATATTTTTGTTTCGTTAGCGATTCCTTTTCACATCTCAGGGAGCGACGACATGAACGGGTCCTGACCACAGTGCGGAACCAGCAGGTGGGTCGTGACGCCGTAGTGACTGGTCCTGGTGGAGGAACAGGTGGTCGGGGGTCAGATGATGGCTTTGCTGCGGTCGACGATCTCGGCCTTCTTCAGTTTGCCCTTACTGAAGGCCTGGATGGAGTTCAGCAGGGCGGTGCGATCTCCTCCAGAGGAGGACAGAGGAGTAGGACAGGAGGACGAGTCCAGCATCGGAGGAGGAGGAGGTGGAGGGGGGGGAGGAGGAGCAGTCAGGGCTCCTGGATGAAGGAGAGAATCAAAGAAGAGAGGGTGAGGAAACAACACCACCTCTGGTTTCTGGTGACATTCAGTTTCCCCAGGAGCTGGTTCCACAAAGATAAAGTTAAACTGGTCCACGCTGGTCTTAGTTTTACTCTTTAACTAGTTTACAGAGAGTTAAATAGTCACTTTAAACTCTCATAGATATCAAACAGAGGGCAGTAAAATGTGTCCACATTAAGACACTCAGCCAATAGAGGCACGAAACATCACAGCTAAAGATTAAACATGACTATAAATCACAACGTTATCCTTCAGATGATCAGAGTACAAACCTGTTCACGGTCTGTAGTTTTATTAGAGACTATAACATTGGTAGAAAATGATTTTTCATTACTTTCTATTAAGGCACTCTGTCATTAATCATGGATTATTAATTAATATTGTTTACTAATGATTTATAGTTCAGTTAAGTCAAATAAGAACCCCTTTTGAGTTATCAAATATACCTTTTGTTGATCATATTTAGTCAAGTTATTAATAAAAATATTTTTATTTTTCTAATTAGCAAATGGCCGAAGTCATCTGCAGTTATAAATGAGTTATTAAATGTGCTACACTGAACATTTTTGACAAACTAGAAACCCAAACACTGGCCTGTGTTTGTTTAAATGTTGGCACCATTACAACTACACAGAATTAGAAGTATGGTTTGCAATATATTCATGATTGTACAGACAACTATCACTGGATTACTGCGATCCCGAACAAAACTTAAAAACACAGTAAATAAATATTTTACCAATGACTTATTAATTCTTCAGAAGCCATAAATTACAACAATTGCAATCTATAAACCCTTTATAAAGGGTGACATAACACACTTATTTAAATTGTCGATTGTGTTCTGTGGGTTTTGCAGAGTCTATCTTTATGAAACCAGCTCCTCCAGATCCATGTCCCGGCTCAACTCAACCCACCACCAGTTCACCTTTCCGGAACTAAAAAGCCTCATTTTAAGAATACGGAGTCAAACGGCCGGGTGGTCCCTAAAGTAAATACGTTAATAAAATAAAAGTTAGAAAGGTTTCTTCTGTTTTCAATATGTGTAAAAGATTTTTTTTTTTTTTTTTAAACTACAGTACCCATAAGCCTCAGTAGCTGTTGCTATGACGACAGAATGAAATCAAAGTTCTAGATCATTCAGATCCAACAAGGCTCTCGGATTGGAAGATTCTTACAGCAGTGGCCTCTGGGACTTGTAGTTGTTTCTCTCTTAAAGTTCTCTGTGGCTTCGCAGCTCTGTTGTCTTTTACTAAAGGAGCTACTGCCTCCGTTTCTCTACTCGTCAGGATCACTTCGATCAACGGGGTGAACTGATGGCGAGTTGAACCGTAACCTGGTACATTCTCTTACAGTTGTGCCATTTTGCATCCCGAACTGAATAAAAAGCCGGTGATTAGGGGCAGAGAGACGTAGAGCTCTGGCATGTAGAAGCAGAGGCCAAGCGCTGCGACTTGAGTCCACAGACTCCACCTTCTGTTTGACTAGACGGTGATTATCTGCGACGTAATGAAAGTACATCCGTCACTCTGACAGATGGTAACCACACCTGGAAAAACCCATCACTGCAGAAGGACATTAGCATGTTTGAAGATGATTTTATTTGGAATAACCCGTTTTTGGCTGAGCAGAACATAGGAAACATATGACGTTAGATTTGAATTATTTTATAGGTATTTTATGAAATCATAATTTAAGAATGCCTGCAGGGGTGACTGATTATCTCCAGGGTGGCCGTGGAACAAACTCACTTTCATTACATTTAGCAGCCACAGAGGCCTTTATTGTTTCTTTTCCATGTAATATTCAGATGACCCTTCAGTCACGTCCACAGCTGCACTTCCAGTGAGACATCCGTCTTCAGATGTGTCAGACCGGAGCCCAGCTGTGTCCACGGTCCACAGTTAACGTGATTAAATGTGAAAGTTGTGCTCAGATCTGTGATCACAGGCCGACTAAGACAAGCTGTGTCCGAAGTACGAACCACCACGAAGGTTTGAAAATGGTCCGTGCTATGAACACAAAAATGTTTGATAAATACGGGCCCAGATCACAAGTAAATTATTCAAAATTTGTAATTGATGTGCTTGAAAGAGGAAACCAAAATGAGAACCAAAAAAAGGTTTATCTGGTTACTTCACGATGTTTATGGACGAAGTATTATCTGAATATTAAACCAAACATGTGAAAATCCTTTTAAAAGATTTTCTGAAGGGTTTGGTCAACAGCAGAGCAGCTGAGAGTGGAAAACAAATATTGAAAAAAAAAAAAAAATCAGAGTTATTATGAGTTCGATACGTTTCTGACCAGAAAAAAAGCAACATTCAAAGACCTGACACGTCTTCACCGTGACACCCCCGTCCCAAACACAGACACACGAGCAGACGAAAAACAAACAAAACAGAGACGGACAAACGGACATGCTGCAACTGACCAGGCGGACAGACGGAACGGACGGATCACAATCTCCAATGAGGACATGGGGTCTGAATCGGGGAGGAGTTGGACTGTCTGTGAGGTTTGGAGATCATTGCAGATTGTGAGGTTTTTTATAAAAGTTGTGCGTACACCCTCTTCCAGGCAAACAGAGACTCGTTGATCTCATCATTGACCCTACGAAGTCCCTTTGAGGTTGAGAGAGGAAGTAGAGCCGTGCCTCCACTACATAGTGTGTCCAACAGAGAGCACTGAAGGTCAATGTCTATCCTGCAGAATGTCCGGCTCAGTGTGTATCTTGTAACACAAAATACAAAACAACCAAAAAAATCGAAAGGAGGAAGTTTTGATGCATTTATGTAAAACTTGAATCACCGCCTCACGGTTGTATCCTTCCGCCAACTAGTCATGTTGTAATTGATGTCCATGTCTAAACAAAATATCATCACTTCATCATTTTATCCTATTAGACATGTGTGAGGTTGTCATAATTAGCATATACATTTGAGTTTCTGCCAAAACGTCTAAGTCGGTAATCTCCGGTTCTGCTGATTGAATCCAATGATGAAGTGTCTTAAAGCTGCATTCTCTCTAATGTCCACCAGGGGGCGACTCCTCTGGTTGTATAGAAGTCTATGAGAAAATGACTCTACTTCTCTCTTGATTTATTACCTCCGTAAACATTGTAAACATGTGTTTATGGTCTCAATCTCAAGTTTCAAGTCTTCTTCAATACAGCATGATGTTCATTTAGTACATTATGGTCCATTTAGAGTCAAACAGACCATAAAGCAGAGTATGCTTTAGAGGCAGATCTCTGACCAGGAGATTGCTGGGAAATCAGGGTGTACGACAGCTTAAAAAAAACACCAGTGACCTTCATCATCATCATCAGACGTTATAAATCGTTTACTTTACCCAACGACACGGTCAGAATGGAGCATGCTCTATGGTGGAGACGGCACAGGAAAGAGAGAGGGAGATGACAGTTATCTGTTCAGTGGACCAATCAGCATTTACACAGTATCCCCAGGACAAAGAGGAGAGGAGAGGAGAAGGAAAGGAAATAAGAAAAACAGGAGGAGAAGAAATAAGAGGAGAGAAGAGGACATAAGCAGAAGAAGAGAGGCAATAAGAAGAAGAGGAAGGAGGAGAGGAAATAAGCGGAAGAAAGGAAATAAGAAGAGGAGACACTTATATCAGGGGAGGAAACTGATGCCACATTCGTGTCAACATGGTGTGAAAGTTTGGTGATATTCTTTATTTTATTTGCATCGTCAAGAAATCTCATGAAAAAGACCAAAACCAACAAAGAATCCTAATAAGTATATTTTGGATTCATCTAAACCGTGATGGAGGAAGTACTCCTCTGTTACTTAAGTACAAGCAGCAACACTCTGTTTCAAGTTAAAGTCCTGCATTCAACACTTAACTTACATAAATGTACAAAAAGTACTTACTACGCACATTGGCCCATATATTGTATCATAAAATTATAATCATTGAGGTTTTAATTTGTTTATCACTGTAATGTTGCAGCTGTAACGTTGGAGCTAATCTTAATTTATTTACTTACTGCTGGGTACCTTTAACTACAATAATACATTATAATTTACTAGTTGATCCATATATTTGCTTATATATTGATAATCTAAATATGTAAAGTAATGTTGTCAAATAAATATATAAAAAAAAAAAAAAAGTATAATATTTCCCTCCAAAATGTGGTGGAGTCAAATTATGAAGTATTGTAAAATGGAAATACTCAAGGAAAGAATAAGTACCTCAAAATTGTGCTGAAGTGTAGTACTTAAATGAGTAAATGTACTTAGTTACTTTCCACCACCAGCAACAGAGCTCAAAACACATCAGTGACCAGCATCAGCACTCACGAGAGCACCAGATCTATATTCATCCGCTGCTGAAAATAGTCCCCCAAAAATGCTCCATTTGCTCCTGTTTGAGTAAGGTTGGCTAAAAGCTACAGTGACCTTTCATTAAATATGGAACTATATTCTGTATTAATGAGCCTTTCTGACAGACTCACGTCTTCAGGTTTGGGTCTCTTCGTGGGATTTGTTGCCAACAACAAGCATTAAGAATATCAGCAGACTGTTGCTTTAAAATATAAAACATCAGTGTTTCCCATCCTGCGTCCAGCTAGCTAGAGACAACAAAGTGAAGGAGACACACTGGAACCAGGTCCTCACATGGCGAGAGAAGAGGTGAAGAGACAGACAGGTTAAACGATTAGTCTTCATATTCACTTCATGCAAATCTCAGAGGAAAATTGAGGAAAGAAGTTCAGGGTTAACGATAAAGATGCTGTTATGGATCTGAGAGCTGCTGCAGCAGATTCTCACCAGTCTGTCAGATACGTTCCACAACACAGACACACCGGGGAAGACAGACAGTTCAACTGACAAATGGGAGGACAGATAGACAGGCAGTTGAACATAAAGATGGGACGACAGACGTACGAATAGACAGTTCAACTGACAAATGGGAAGACAAACGAACAGACTGATGACAGGACAGATGGACGAACAGACAGACAGACCAGAGGATAGAAAGACATACAGACGGGAGGACAGACAAACAGACAGTTAAACAGACAGACAGACAGGGTTTACCTGTGGTGGATGGGGGGGTGGGGGAGGAGGGGCATGTGGGAGGGGAACTGGCTCCAGAACCTGAAGACGGACAGAAAAACTGATTATTCACTGTCAGTAACTTTATTAAAGAAAAAAGTGTAGCTCAACAAAACCTGAAAGTGCAGAGTCTAGACTACATTTATTGTTTTAATACCCATTTCCTTTTAAAGATTATTCTAGGATGTAAATGTAATTCATGGTGCCGTTAGATTGCTGCTCGACCGTCCCGTGCTTCCCTTTGTGTTTTTGAAAGGCTAAACGCCAACAAATAAGGAGTGAAACAGAAATGTTTGTTACATAAAAACACGGTGGACATTTTGTAAATGATTACATCTATCTTCTTTTCAATAAATTTAGACTTTTGGACCGAGACAATGACAAGAGACGAGGACTGAGCACCACCTCGCTCTGTGTGTGTGTGTGTGTGAGAGAGAGGTGGACTATTGCACACAATGGTTCTGTCAATATAATAATAATTAAAATGTCAACATTATGAATGAAGATTTGAACTACAAGATACAACACTAACTAAGACTGTACCTAGGTAACTGTTCAACTAGGTGTCCAACTACGATTAACATACCAACCAGCTAACTAGCTAACTATTACAGTGATTAACACGCTGCCTACTCAGTTAATAAGCTAATACGCTACCTCCCTTTACAATACTCTTAGACTTGTTTTGCTGTGTTGTAAATTATGTCAGACTAACCAAATGAATAAATAAATATCTAATAAAACAAAATGACCGATTCAGCTATTCAAAACAACACCTACCAGGTGAACTAGCCAACCAATTAGCTTTAGCTAGCTTGTAAAGACAAGAGAGGCTGAAGCTCTGGTAGCACCAGCAGTGACCTACCAGAGTTATTGTTGTTTCTAACAGAGACGTCTTCTTCATTTTCATAAGCCGACCGTCTGGACTTCTGCAAAGACAAAAACTCAACATTAGATTTCATTGAAACGATACGCTTAAGCTAACATGCACCATTTACAAGAAATGAACCACTTCTTGTGCACTTGTAGAGTCACCTGTTCCTCTAACCTCAAACAGGTTCCGTGTTTAATGCATGCGTTTAATTTCAGTCTCTCTCAACAGAAACTTGTTCCTGTGGGTTTTTCTAAACAAACATCCGATGAGTCTTAGCCGCAACCAGCCAAGACGTTTGTCCATGATGTTGTTCAGATGTTCTTCCTGTTGTTGTGACAGACGCTGTCGCCTACCTTCCTCGCCAGAATCTTCCTCCTCTTCCTCTCCTCCTCTGAGCCGTGGTGAGACTGAGCTCTGGTCAGCCTCTTGTGCTGGTGGAGCTTCAATCAAACAAACACACACAACATTACCCTCCTTACAAAACAGCAAACCTCCTATTTACAAGCTGCATAATGCAATCTGTTCACAAAAATTAATTTACATTCAATAAATGTCTTCAGGTTTTAAGTGTGCAGGAATCTTTAAAAAAAAAAAAGAGATAATGAATACTGCATAATAAATACTGAATCTGTGGATCTTCTTCTCTTAAGAACCTTCACATTTCTATTTCAGCAGATATGGCAATTAAGTGGTGAATATTCCCATTTGTGGCCCACTTTGGCAAGTTGATAATCCAAACTTGGCCTTGCATTTGTCCGTTTCTAGAAACAAGTGGAATGCAGAGTTCACACAACATCACGAGGCTCTCCGGTATCCTTTCATGACCTCTCCTTCACGGAGTAATGTTTGTCTATATTCTTGTTTTATAACTGCACAGTGAAACAAGCAGAGGAGAAGCAGTGAGTGCAAAGACAGCGGATGGAGATTCATGTAAAATGCTTCATAAAACACAGGGTGACCTTCAACTTTATGGACTGCTGCAGTTAGCGTGCTAGCCATGCTATCTGCTGCAGTGAATGTTTACAACCCTGCTCAGGCTATTTCATGTCCCATCTGCTTTTTCTGCCTCAGGACGCCGGTAAACGTCTGCAGGTGAAATCTGTTTTGACTTCCATTTAAGAAGCAAGCCGTTCACCGTCATTCTATCTGCTGGTCGATAGTTGAGGAAGCATGAAAATCAAGCATTCATTTCCCCAAATGCAGAATGTCATTCATGAAGAAGTCATTTTCAAGACATTGGAAGACATGAAAGAATCTGCGGAGAGTCAAATTGCGTTCACTTTGTAGTTCGAAAGAGAACACGTGAGGTTTCAGTGCCGTCTGCTCCTGGAGTCGGCATCACTTACAGGAAGAGCAGCTTAAAGTAATTTGACATTAATGTCAGCACACTGCTTGTGTTTGCAACATGAAACGGTTGTGGGAAATCACGTTGCAATGTTTTTCCACAGTATTTTATGTTGCAGGGGCCAGGCCTTGTCCAACTTGTTTTGCAGGTCACCGATTCAAAATACAGATATTTGGGGAAAATCGTTGATGGAGCCTTTAAGAAGGGACATGTCCTCCCGAAGGTCTTCAGTGGAGAAAATAAACAAACAATTTAAAGACGTTAAATGAGTGTAATGACCCACCAGTCTCTGCTCCTCCTGCAGCCTCTTCTCTAGACTCTCCTTCGCCGTCTTCAGCGCCTCTTTTAGCCTGCTGGGAACCTGGAGGAGAGGAAGGACTCAGAGGTCTGCTTCATCTTTCTTGTCGTTTTATTTTTTTAATCAGAATAAACATTCTGAAGGAGTTCACATGGACAAACTCTCGGAGCAGTAAACTCAGCCTCTCACCTTGATCTGGAGTTTTTCGGAGTGTTGGAGCTGAACGTCACTGAACAGCCTAAAAAACACAAAATGTGACTCATCAGCAACAAAAAAAAAACATGATCATGTGTCTGTACACAGGCAAGATTATGATCATGAGTCTGTACACAGGATGTAGGTGCATCACTACTTAATGAAAACAACAGGACAGAGGCTACGTCAGGTGAACTCACGGTGTCTGGATGAGCTGCGACACTGTTGGCATCCCACTCTTACAGGCTTCTGTGGACAAAATGGACTGCAGCACTGACACTGAGCACACGAACACACACAAAATAAATCAAACAGAGCACGTTGGAACATTTAAGTAAACTTGTTTCAGGTCCAGAGGACAGAATGTCTGGAGGTAGAAAAGAAATCGTGACAGTATCTGTATGTGTACATATTAATCTGTGTGTGTGTGTGTGTGTGTGTGTGTGTGTGGGGGTGTGGATATATACTGACCCACAGCGGTGTAGGGGGCAGCCGGGTATTGATCGACGGGCACGCTGTCCGGCGGACGGCCGTACATCATCTCGTAGAGTAAATGTCCAAAGCAGAAGACGTCTATGCTCTCTGTGGTCTGCAGAAACACAAGTACTACTTAGATAAACTAACTTTCAATCACAAAGTGCGTTAGTGCATGTACAGGCTCACAATCTGAAGATTTAAAGATGTTGTTCACAGGAACACGAGCTGACTCCTGGAACAATTATCTCTCTCCCATATTCTCCATTTTCAGCGTCTACGTACGTTGATCTTCCTGAGCTGGCTGAAGGCCGGTCGCAGCACTGAGGGAACTCCCAGCATGCCGTTTTCTACATCAGTCAGTCGACACACACCGTCATCCACAATTACGTTAGACGCGTGCAGGTGACCGAAAAATACGCCGCCATCATGGAGAAGCTTCAGGCTCTGAACACACAGCGAGAGCGAGAGAGAGACTGTTGTAGTAACAAGTAAAATTTTGTGATGTGTGTGTGTGTGTGTGTAAATATACCTCCAGGATCTGGCGGCCGTACAGTTTGATGTGCTGCAGTTCAAGTCCCTGACTCTTCTTCGGGTTACAGTACTTCTTCAGGTAACTCTCTCTGGGTTTCACCTGGAGGAGAGGAACAACGGGTTTCACTGGAACCTTTTACCAACAATATGGTGGAATTAAACTAAGTACATCCACTCAAGTACATCCACTTGAATTTCGAGTTGAATTTCGTATAACATATACACACATATATACACACACATATACACACACACACATACACACATATAGATATATATACATACACACATATACATATACATATACACACATATACATATACATATACACACATACACATATATACACACATACATATATACACACACACATACATATACACACACACATATATATACACACACACACATATATATACACACACACACATACATATACACACACACACACACACACACACACACACACACACACACACACACA